GGTGTCAGCAGGATCCATTTGCCTATCGTTTATAGGACATCTGAATCTGGGTCGCTGCAGGGCTTTTAGTACTGCTTTCCTGCCTTTTGATTTCTACCAAGTTCCTCCAGTGGAAAAATCTTTCCACGTGCAGTGTTCTTTTCTGGGGCTGAAAGGACCAAGATAATCCCGGATGCTTCCCTGCAGCTGAGCTCATGTCACAAATCAGGCATGATTTTCAGCAGATATTTCTTTAAAAGTTTGAAGGCCTCTGTGGACTCTATTCCCTTCTCAACGGGAACAGGCATCAAAGAGACGGGACTAAAATGCTTTGCACTCACATCAGGAACTAATTGGCAATTTGGCAAATGCATTGACTAATGTCATGCACTGTTATTTCTAAATCCTCTCCTGTCCTTGACCCCCAGTATCTAGATGTAAACTTGGGACCATTAGTGGAGAAGGATAAAGTCTTCTGGTGCCTCAAATGGAATTGAGAGGGATTTAAACTAGGCGCTTTTGAGTGTGGTGAAATGAACCCAGCAGTACATTAATGCTAGGATTTGAACTCACACAGCATGAGTGCTTTCAAAAACCGTGTTTAAGGAAGCAAACAGAGCCACGACAGACCCTTTCAGTGGAGCAAAAGGAGTTGGATGAAACAATCAATGACACATTAAAAAACCACAACTGGGCTGCAATCATGTGGGCAGGAAAAAAAGTTTTTCTTTATCACAGGATCTTTGCATCTAATGAGATGGTGCCTGGACAACCTCCAGAGGGGTAAGGCCTCTGTTTACTTTAGCTGAGAAATGTCTAAATATTTAGTTGGTTCCCTTAAAAGCCTTACACCAGTCTGTAGCAAACTGGTCTTTAAGGTATGATCTTATTGGGTCTATATTGCCATTGGGAGAGCTATTTAAAGGGAATTTGGAAAAGTCAGAAGATATTACCACTGAAGGTGCAAATGTTAACTTTTTTATTCCCCCTCTCAAAATTAGCTCTTTTTAATGTCCTCCAAATATTTAATTTAGGACCAATGCCTTGCCAGTCAATACTTTCTCTTAATTCATCCTAAATGGTTCTCTACTTCTTACATACACTTTATTCTTATTGGTTCCAGTTGGGCCCGAAGTGCTTGAGGCTAAAAAGGGGAGGGACTCCTGAGCGCATTTTCTTGGGAGCGGGAGGGGAAGCCAAGAGGGCTGAGAGAGCTTTGTAAAAATGTCTATAGGGGTCCACCCTTTAAATTCACACTACTGTCATGTATCAGCAGATTTCAGTCAAAACCAATATCCAGTTTGCTCTAAGCTTCTGGGATCCTCTGTGTCACAAACACAGTGCACCCCAGATATGGCATCAGTTGGGGCTTTAACCTTTTTAGAATTTCTGATAGTAGAATCCCCTCCAGCATGCCTTCTTTATTATTTCTTCCTGTGCACTCTCACCAAGGATCACCGAGCTGCTCCCCTCCCCCGCTGCAGGAGGCCAGCACAGACCCTGTTCCGCCAGTTTGATGAATGTGTCTTGGCTAATTGTGTGCAAGATGGCAGGCCTTTAGCAAGTGTGACCAGTTTATTGTTCAGCCAATCACAGGCGCCTCAGTTAGCATGTGAAAAGGGGGTGTGTTGCCGGGGAGGGTGAGTGTTCTGGCGGCTGAGTCAAAGGAGGAGCGTTTTGGGGGGTCACAGAGCAACACCCACTTCTTTGAGGGGATGTTACTATGCTCTACTAAACCTGTAAACCTCTTACTCAAAGCACTTTTTTTCTCTTCCCTCTTTTTTCAAGGAGATCTTTTTTTCCCATGGTTCAAGCAAGGCAAGACACTGGCTACTCTACAGATGGAGCTCACGTTCCAGGGTTTTTAATATTTCACTTTTATATTTCTGTTAGAGAATGATCCTGCTGAGAGTCTGGGAGTCCGTGCTCGTCAGAACCCCTCACTGACACTTGGATATATTGCTCTGAAAGCTATCCCAGGAGAAAAGATTAAACAAAAAAAAGCCTACTTTTCAAAGCCTACTTCTCAATCTGCCCACATCAAAATAAGACAACTGGCCCTTTGAAGTGGAAGACACAAGAGTTCTCAGCCAGCTTGCTTAAAGCAGGGGGTGGGGCTGGGGGAGATGAGGAAAGAAGGAAGGAAGGAAGGAAGGAAGGAAAGAAAGAAAGAAAGAAAGAAAGAAAGAAAGAAAGAAAGAAAGAAAGAAAGAAAGAAAGAAAGACCAGACCAGTGTCTAAAATTATATACCTTTCTTCCCTCACCCAGATTTAATCAAGCACAGGAGTCTGAATTTCTGGTGAGAAAACTTACAGCCCTGCTCATCAGTGCCCGAAGAAAACAGGTAACTGGTCAGAGAAACCTGTCCAGCGGGGTCAGCACCAGGTGTTTTTTTAAAACCTGTACAAACAGAAACTGTGTTGTTCATACATAGTTGAGACAAGACCTGGTGAGGGCAGCGTGGGCACAGATGGCCACCGGATGGTTCTCTAAGTTCTGAGCTCTCCAGCTCCCTCAAAGTTGTTGTGCAGCTGAATTCAAAGTTTGGGGGCTCTTAGAGTGAAAAGGGGAGGAATGAAAATCTCATCAAGAATGGCGTTAACAGTTCTCCTCTGTGACATTTTACTGGCTCCCATCCCCTCTTCTGGTCCCTTAATCACTGGAGCTCAAGTCCCTGGAAGCAGCAGCAACAGCTCAGGGATAGGGGTGGGTGGGAGGTGGCCTGAAGGGACTTCTTAATTCATATAAGGGGATGTTCCCGGAACACGGACATGGGTGGCTGTTTTAAAACATAGTCCTTGCGATTGAGTTATCAATAGTACTGACCCCATGCCCAAGATATGCTGAACTTTTAAGATTTACAAGTAAAAGTTGAGACATCTTGGCTGTGACTAAGGTTACAACGCCCTTCCCTTTGTAAGCCTAGCCTGGCCCACAGCTATACACTGCCCAAGCCCGTGGAAGTGGGGCTCACAAATGAGCACACCGCCCCCCATAAGGAGAGCTGGTGAAAGAGTGTGGATGAATGAATACAAACACAACCTCTCAGAGGTCCGTGAATGTGCCGAATTCATCTATGCAGACACAGCACGTTCCACAGTGCCTGGCAGATAGTAGGTGCTCAGAAATTTGTGACTTATTTGAATTAAAGTGAATCCTTACTAGAAAAACAATGCAAAGTATGAAACCTATTGATGTTGGGCCTGGAGAATTCTCTTCATAAATAAAAAATTGTATATTACTTTGAAATGACAGCAAAATAAAAAATGCAACATATTTCTCAATGTTTTATTGGAACCCAGTTATCTTATTTAGTACAGAATCTGGCAGGGAAGCATTTTGGACAAGTTTCTATCATTATTGTTCTCATCAAGGATCACTATTTATTGCCTGAATCAACCTGAAACCCAAACATTTCAAGTTTGGGGGAACAGCATATGCTCACCATGGCAGCTTTGTATTGAGATCATTCAAATTGTTTTCTACAACCCATCTGTGACCCTAAACTTCTGCTTGCGTCCATGTTAGGAAGCTGAGGGGTCCCATTTCACTCAGAGAGTGAAAGGGAAAAGGCGTTATTCCAAGCCCTGTGGCGAGAGGGTGGCATTTTTCTCAAGTAGTAAACTCAAGCAAAATCATTAGAAATGATAAACTATTTGGAAATGATCCGAACAGCATTTAGCAATGCATACAGGTCATTCACAAAGCAGCTGAAATGACTTTACGGCTGGTCTTTAGCTGGTGTAGGTTTTCCACAATCCTGGTCAGTTCAAGATGCCTGAACCCTATGTATAGCTGTTTGAGCAAAACTATTAGATGCTGGAGAAAAAAAGAGTAAAAAATTCCCATCCTCCTGTCTTCTGTTTTCCTTTTTTTTTTTTTTTTTTTTGTGGTACGCGGGCCTCTCACTGCTGTGGCCTCTCCCGTTGCGGAGCACAGGCTCCGGACGCGCAGGCTCAGCGGCCATGGCTCACGGGCCCAGCCGCTCCGCGGCATGTGGGATCTTCCCGGACCAGGGCTCGAGCCCGTGTCCCCTGCATCGGCAGGCGGACCCTCAACCACTGTGCCACCAGGGAAGCCCATGTTTTCCATTTTAATTGTCTTTGAAATCTCCTTACAGTTTCTTGCTCTCAAAAAACACTTCCAGGATAACCTCATACCACAGTTAGTAATGACAACAATTTGGGGAAATTCCATTTTTAGTTATGGGACAATGGAATAATATAGAGACTGGAAAACCAGACTTGGGCCACATTCTCCCTAATTTGTACATATTTACCTCCCCTTTAATCATTACTGCAAGAGTCCAGCTCTGGTATGGCCATTACTTGCTTCTCAACCTCTGATATGGTCCTTCATCCTATAGCTCATTGCTTGCCTCCTCTCTTCTGTCTCAACGTCGTTAAAGTGACAGCTGGGTAATCTGACCTCTCTGGCATGCTCTTGGGACCATTTCTCAAAGACATCCCCCATGGCAACACTTCCACCCCCAGGAGCCAGTATTGGAGGACAAAATGTGTGACAGAAAATAACCAAGTGTTAGGTTTGGAGACAATGGATGAACTCTGATACAATCTAGAGACATGTTACCTGGCCTGTCCTAGGCCCAGTGAGCCTTTACCTCCCCACTATTGTATTAGCTTTCTTTTTATACTTTATGAGATACAATAACCTAGCAAATAAACTCAATGATAGTCACTGGGCTCAAAAATGAGACCATCTTTTGAGTTGTCCTTTTAAGCCATTGGGTATTTGGAAATGGTTGTGGAGTCCACAGTAACAGTCATTCCAGATTGTTATTCAGCTTGGTTACTTGTGTTTTACAGAGTTGGAGAACTGATCTAATCTCAACTACTATTTCAATGACGTCCTCCTCGTAAAAAGATTAGTCAGGGAATATGAGTCTAAAAATCTGTCTAGAGCTATCTACACTGTTAACAATTAAAGAGGGACACTCTGTGGGGCCAGTGCTCTCACACTGCTAATTCTCAGAGCTTTCGGAGGCTCAAGTCAATATTACCTGGATTGTAGTTAGGTAGCTTGGAAACTCCAGGCCAGTTATCCTCTGTAGGGACTCCCAGCACCTATATAAAGCCAAAGAAAGACAAAGAAAGATGAGGGGGAGATGAGGTGGATGGAGCAGGTATGGAGACATGAAGGACACATCAGGGAGGAAGAGGGAAGAAATGAATGTATGTCACATTATGACAGTTGATGTGCTAAAGAAAGAAACTTCAGTGTTTCCAACATTTGCAGTTTCATGGGCAAAACTGCAGTGTATATCTACGGTCCTATGTGTCAACATGACTGGGCTAAAGGATGCCCAAGATAGCCGGTAAAACATTATGTCTGGGGTGTCTGTGAGGGTGTTTCTGGAAGAGATTAGGAATTGAATCAGTAGACTGAATAAAGAGATTGGCCCTCACCAATGAGGGTGGCATCATCCAATTGGTAGGGGACCTGAATAGAACAAAAAGGTGGAGGAAGGGCAAATTTTCTCTCTTTCTTCTTGAGCTGGGACATCGTCTTCTCTTGCCTTTGGACACTGGAGCCCTAGTTCTCTGGCCTTCAGATTCTGGGACTTAAACCAGTGGTCCCCTTAGACTGAATTATACCACCAGCTTTCCTGGTTCTCCAGCTTGCAGAGGACATATCTCAGCCTCCATGAAATCACATGAGCCAATTCCCATAATGAATCACAAGAGATACACACACGTACGTACACACACACACATACACACAAATACATACATGTCTCCTATTGGCTTTGTTTCTCTGGAGATCTCTGACTAATACAGATCATATAACCTTGCTTAAAGTCATATTCTCATCCCAAAATATCTACAGACCTACCTCAGGATATTATGGGTTTGGTACTACAAATAAAGTTAATATTGTAGTAAAGTGAGTCACACAAATTTTCGGTTTCCTGATGCATATAAAAGTTATGTTTACACTATACTATGGTCTGTTAAGTGCATAACAGAGCAATGCACATACCTTAATTTAAAAAACCAATGTACATGTCTTAATTTAAAAATGTTTCCTCACTAAAAATTGCTAACCATCATCTGACAGCGCAGGGTTGCCACAAACCTTCAATTTGTTAAAAAAAAAAAAAAAAAAAGCAATGTCTGAAAAGTGCTATAAAGTGAAGCACAGTAAAACGAGCTATGTCTGCTGTACTGCATGATCACCATACATTAGGATGCTGCACTGGGAGTTAGGAATAGAAAAAGACAGGAGTGATAAAGTGTCCCTTTGCCTTACATCAGATGACTGTATTTATATATATATATGTCTCAACAGGAGACACTTGACAGTTTAAATTATGCCTCAGCATGGGCATTCAGCTGTTCCCCGATGTGCTCAAATTAAAAAGGATTCAGATTACTGACCTTTAAGCAGTGGAATGTTGGCTAAAAATGATCCCAAACCTAACTCTAGTCTTTTCTACCAAATTCATCTCATCTGCTTGTTTTCTCTGTGGCCCAGCAGCTTGGAATATGGTATTTGGTTTTTAACTGGTGGATAGTAATATTAACAACATCACTTGAAAAAGAGCTCACGTGTGCTTTGGATTACCAAACTGAAGCTTTAGTTTTTAATTACTATGAAAAGTCTTTTGGAGTATAAAGACAAACACTTCAGATTTTAGATGGTGCTGTTACTGCGAGTTCCCTTGTAGGCAAAATCTTGCCATTCTTTTAAGATAGTCATAAAAGCCCAATGTCAGTTATATCTAGGAGCCAGAATAATATTGTTCTTGTGAAATATTAATAAAACACTAGTAGTTTTCATACACCGCTACAATATAACTCTTCTTAGAAGCATATCTCAGTACAAGTCTTTATAGAAGCATCTCTCATAGAAAAAGCCTAGTGAATCCATTTGTAAAATGCTGGATACAGATGCTGGCCCAATTGTTATGGCAGGAAGTCAACTGCCCAACAATGACTAATAATAATCAATGAGGAATCCAGAAGGCTCTTAATATTTACCAGCTTGCTGACCAGGACTCTAGCCGAGAAGTACACTCTTTGGTGTCTGTTAAGCTTGTCCTCAAACAAAAGACACTGAAGCGCCATTTTCCCTCCCATAATAAAAAAATTAAGCCACCCAGTAGAAGCTTCTTTCTTTGATCCATTCCCTAAACAAACTGAAAAGCTACTGAGAGGATTACAGGCTTTTCCTAGCAGCCACCCTGAGCCGGAGGGAACACTAAGAATCCTGGAATCCATTTTGAAAAACCAACTGGACTAATTCTTCTTTTGTGGGAGAGGGCCAGAGGATGGGAAGCTAATTCTTCTTTGTTAACCTACCATCTTATGTATTTGCACAGATGTGCATGTGAACAAGTGGGTGGGATGATTCGCATGTACCCCTACGTCTTCTGTTGCCTGGCAAAGCACAATGAAAGAAAGTAAATATAATGAAGAGAAAGCGCTGAAGGAAATAAATAACGACCATATCCATATTTTCACTAAGGTGAAAGTTACCAGAATTGTTGGTTACTTTGTATTATTGTGTAATTAAAGCCAACAAAATGGGTACCAACAATTCTGGAATATTGTGCTAAAAGCTTTAAGCCTGAGATTTTAAAAGTTTAAACAGAAGTTCAATATCCTTTATTTGGAAATTTGATGCTCAGTTTTTATTTGAAAGTTATTGAATTCATTTTCACTTGTACTCAATCTCCGCTTCACTGACTGGGAAACTGAAAACCAAAAATTGTTGATTTACTCCCTCCCTGAAGGCTCTTAAAAGACAGCTAGTGAGTGCTGTGTTTGAAACCACAGTGGGCTGCAAGGGCTGTTTTCTGCCTTTGTTGGAATGGAAACTGAAGGCATTTTGATTAATGGCTTTAAAGTCTGCATCGTTTATTTTATTCTGATTTTAGAACCACATCTGGTATTATTTGCTAAAAATACTTATTGAAAGAATTAGATTTCTAAAAAATTGATTAAAAATTGATGACAGCCATTCAGATGTAAACACACACACACACACACACACATACACACACACACACAGAGGCATTTCAGAAAGATGGTAAAATAAAAATTCAGGACTTATTATTATGTCTTTATTCCTAAGTGTGAGATCTCAGAATAAATGTAAAGAAAAGCTGTGATTAGAGGTTGGGAGATGTAGACTAGACCATTGCTTTCAAAGAAGCAATTCCTACATCAAGTATCATAGAACCCGAAATAGACCACCTTTAGTAAAACACAACTCAGGAGCCATTTGTAATGTTTGAATTTCCAAGCTGCTTGGGATGTAGTAGTGTAAGAGATAACACACTGCTGAATGTGGTTCTCTCTTTGTCCTCAGAGCACGGAACTACAGATGTGTGGTAACAAAACTGTGGCCTTGGGCTTCCCTGGTGGCACAGTGGTTGAGAGTCCGCCTGCCGATGCAGGGGACACGGGTTCGTGCCCCGGTCCGGGAGGATCCCACATGCCGCGGAGCGGCTGGGCCCGTGAGCCATGGCCGCTGAGCCTGCGCGTCCGGAGCCTGTGCTCCGCAACAGGTGAGGCCAAAAAAGTGAGAGGGCCGCGTACCGAAAAAAAAAAAAAAAAAAAAAGATAGAAGCTACAATATTCTCTTAACACTTTGTTCAAAGAGGTCACAAGTTCATGGAGTCAGAAAATCAAATATACTTTAAGATGCTAGAGACCCAGGGAGATAAATTATGAGACTCGTGTTACCACCTAACCTGAAGTTAGGGCTGGGTTCAGAATTCATGTCTACTAACACCAAGCCAGTGTTATTTCTAATGTGTTTACTTGTTTTATATTTGTAATGAGTTGTCATAAATGTCAAAATAAAGTCCTTCTGATTTATTGCAGTGTGATAAGAATAATGGTAGACGTGAACATGGCTTCCTGGGCAGGACCTGTTGGACCCATTTGTTAAGACACATTTGTTTTGGCTGCATCACTCATGTTTTGGTACTTTATGTCCAGATACAAGTCCAAAATTTTCACTTACTGAATTACCTAAAACATCTTCAGATGGCCAGCGTCAGCCACCAAGACCAGTCCCGGAAACTTGAACCAATAACTAGAGAGCCATCAGGTCCTGGGAAACGTCTAACTCATTCTTTCTGTCCCATGATTTCTAAGTGCTATGCTAAATGCAAAGAACTGTAAAATGATTGCTTTTAAGAAAACAATCATTTAAAAATAGGAAGTAATGTAAAAAAATCAGTTTGTATATAACTCTTCAAATATCCTAATAGCATACCTTAGCTATTATTATAATTTATATTTATAAATTTATAAGTTATATATTATTATAATTTAGCTAGTATTATAATTTTTATTAACTATCTATATATACATACATCTTTTTGCATCTATACATAGGTTATGTTTGTTTTACATATATTTACTTATATTCCACCCATCACCCCACCTAGACTGAACAACAGGTGAAAGCATAGATCATGCATTTTTCCTATTCTTTCCATTTTTCCATGCCTTGTAACATAAGACAATGAGTGTCCAATAAATATTGTGTCCTGATTTAATGGCTAGGAAAAACTTTTCAAATGTGTAAAAGATCACTGCAGGGTCTGGTCTAGGCAGTACTAGCTGAGCTTCCTCTAATGTGGACAAGAAGTAATATTAAGCAGGAGAACAGAACAATTAGGTGAAGTATTAGGAAATGCTTGTTAACGGTTTGGTCATTGAAACATCTCTATGAAAATAATTTCTATGAGAGAGAAAGCAAACATTTATCGATCACTTATGGCACATGGGGCTTGTGATGCATTTGATCTTATGAAATTCTCACAGAAAGGTTAGAAAGTCATTATCGCTAGCCCCATTTCACAAGTGAGGAAACTGGAGTTCAGAGGGACTACATAACTTGTACACGTTCGTCTCGCTAAAAAGTGGCTAGAATTCAAATGTTGGTCTTCGACTCTAAAGCCATTAATTACATTAGGCTGCCTCCAGTTTAGATGATGATATCATCCAATGATACTTTTTGAAGGTAGCAGTTCTTGGTCTTGCAGGATAGTTTTGAGAAAAAAAAAACAACTTTTGGCTTGAAAAATGTTTTTTTATTAGTTTGTGAATGCATCCCAATTTTTCCTATGTTCCTCCATAATATCCCCAATGTTTCCAAAAGAAAGCTTAATGGCAGTGATTAATCTCTATAAAATGTCTTAATTTCACAAAGGACATTTTACTTTATTTTGACATTCACAAAGCACAATGTTTTCTGGGTCATGAATCTGTAGCCCTAGACTGGTTTGCACAGACTATCTTCATAAAGGTGAGCCACTGACCCTCCAGACACTAACTAGCAACTAGCTCTTCCCTTTTCCTAAATGTTCCCTGAGGATTTTCCTCACCTTCATGTGTGTATTAAAGATAAACTCAGCTTTTTTTTAAAATAAATGAAGGACTCCACAGTGGAGACACAATTCGAAAATGAAACTTTTATACCATTCCTGGAAAGGCAAAATATTTGGGGCCACTGAATCAAAATCATAAAGAAGTTTGAGAAAAGACAAGTTTCCCCACCTGCACACAAAAATCCTACTCTGCAATATTTCCCAAGATACCCGATTGGGAAGCTGTTAGCAAGTATGCTCTAGATGCTTGCTTGAAGCAAGCAAACTTGAAAGGGAGCAGAATCCAGGATACAAGCGATACCCTCCCCCCACCCCAGTTTAAAGCACTTGACACATGCTACAATATGGATGGATCTTGAAAACGTTACACTAAATGAAATAAGCCAAGCACAAAGGACAAATCCTGTTAAGATTCTACTTATGTGAAAACCTAGAATGGGCAAATTCATGGAGACGGAAGGTTGACGAGAGGTTACCAGGGGCTGGGGGCAGGGAAAATGGGGAGCTGGCTGTGTGGATACAAAGCTTCTGTTTGGGGTGATGAAAAAGTTTGGGAAATGGATGGTGGTGATGGTTCCATGGCAATGTGAATGCATTTAATGCTATGAATTGTATCCTTAAAAATGGTTAGAATGGTAAATTTTATGCTATATATATTTAACCACAATTTAAAAATCATCAAAAAAAAAGACAGCAATATATAAATGACTATAGTACATGGCATATAAGCTACCAGGGACATAAAAATGAAGTACATAATGGTGCAAATGAGGGAGGGATAAATAATGAATAAAGAAATGGAACCACACACACAAAAGCACCCTGTTACCTTAGGAATCTGGTTTTGGAGGAGCATGATACACGGCATACTTCTCTCACACTAACACAGGAAGCCTTTGTTTTATCAGGGTTCTATGAAAATTCAGTGCCTTGTCTTCAGTTGACAAAGATCCAGGGCCAAATATAGTGTAGACTTAGAGCTGGGGGTGGCAGGGCAGGGATGTGTTTAATTAGTAATGGCAGAAACTACCCTGGGAGGTTGAGACAATAATCACCGGAAGCAAGTGGATTCATGGGCTGCCACGGGACAACGGGGTGGGGGTGGGGGTCCTGACCACTCATTCCCAAGGTGCCTATGCCCCTGGCAAATACCACAGTTTCCACAACCCTTAAAATATGGCTTACTCTCTCAAAGCAGATGGACTGCTTCGTTTGTCTCTAAGGAAAATTTGGTTCAAAGCTTGTAATGCATATATTTTTTTTCTTCCTAAGAGGAATTCTTCTCTTACCTCCCAGATCTTCTCCAGCTGTTCAAGGATGTTGGAAACCCCAGGAAACAAGGGTTGACCCTGGAACATTTCAATAAAGATGCAGCCTGCACCCCTAACAAAGAAATAAGAGTCAACCCAATGCTTTCAAGGAACCCATACGTGCAAAACTGAACTACTAGCATTTCACCTCCCAAGAAATACTCTGAGGACAATTAGATAGGGGCCACATAGTATGAAAAGTCTTGGCAGAAAAAGTCCCTATGTTAAACAAAAATAAAAACAGCCTGCAGCTTTTTGTTAAAATGGAACGCAACGGGCATTTAGGAACACAGTATAGAAAGCAAGCATTTGAGTTCATTCAAGCTCATTAACAATCTATTTTCTGAGAGGAGGGGAAAGTACTGAATCTCCAAACTGAATACCCTCTTGCACTGAAACTAAGATGCTATCATTGTAAGAAGCATCATTATTGTATGTACTTTTAAGAAACCCAAAGAAAAACAAACAAAAAACCCCACAAGTTAAACTGTGATGATCAGAATGTTTCCTTCATATTCATTGAAAGGGCTGTTACAAATTTAATTAGACAGATTATTTCACCATATATCGTACTTGTACATGCAAAAAAAATGGAATATTAAGTGGAAGAAATTGGTTTCGGTACTCATCAAACTTTTTGACATTCAGCATTTAACTCAGACTCTTTGATGTCTGTGTTTATCCATGGTATCGTCCTTTGACGGTATCGTCAGGAGTTTGATGATACAGCATTTCTTAGAATAAGCCATAAAACAACCAAGAGTCATTGGTGCTGGGGCTCCTAAGCTGACCTTGCAGTTACGTGTTAGCCAACTTTTGACTCCAGCTTAAAGAATGTTGCTAAACATGTCTGATTCACGCCTTCTCCACAACCATTTGGTTCCTAGGGGTTAACAAGAAAAAAAAAAAAAAGAGGTCTCCTGTCTTCCAAGTTACTGACACCCATTCTGCAACTTTTGATGCTGCCATGTTTGATGTCCACACATGTACAATGGTAACTACAGTCATAACTGAAGCATGGCTGACGGCTACTGTAAGATGCTACTGATTTTAAGATGCATCCTGATTTAACAGAGAATGTGCAACTTAAAATAGATTAAATAGGGAGAAATATAAATTTTCTTTCCTACTTAGTCAAACTGGAGGATAATTCCTCAGGAAGAGTAAGAAGTAAGATTTATTTTGCTAATAATGCACATTTTTATTCTTACAAATCTTTATTTATTTAGTTTTGGCTGCGTTGGGTCTTCGTTGCTGCACGCCGGCTTTCTCTAGTTGCAGCGAGCGGGGGCTACTCTTCGTTGTGGTGCACATGCTTCTCATTGAGGTGGCTTCTTTTGTTTCAGAGCGTGAGCTCTAGGCATGGGGGCTTCAGTAGCTGTGGCACGTGGGCTCAGTAGTTGTGGCTCGTGGGCTCTACAGCACTGGCTCAGTAGTTGTGACGCACGAGCTTAGCTGCTCCGCGGCATGTGGGATCTTCCCGGACCAGGTCTTGAACCCCTGTCCCCTGCATTGGCAGGCAGATTCTTAACCACTGTGCCACCAGGGAAGTCCCAACTCTTACAAATCTTTTGAGAATGGTTCAGGTGACTGATTACAGAGATTATCCCCATGGTCTAATACTTCCCGAGTTTTGATGCCAAATCCCTTTCACCATAACACATAATCTCGCAAACTCCCTTAATCGTCTAGACGTTTTGCTGTGGCATGATAAAGAAGAAAATTTCAGTAAAACATTTTTTTTTGGCTGTGTTGGGTCTTCATTGCTGCGTGGGCTTTCTCTAATTGCGGTGAGCAGGGGCTACTCTTCGTTGCGGTGCGCGGGCTTCTCATTGCGGTGGCTTCTCTTATTGCAGAGCACGGGCTCTAGGCGCGTGGGCTTCAGTAGTTGTGGCACATGGGCTCAGTAGTTGCGGCTCGCGGGCTCTAGAGCGCAGGCTCAGTGGTTGTGGTACACGGGCTTAGTTGCTCCGCGGCATGTGGGATCTTCCTGGACCAGGGCTCGAACCCGTGTGCCCTGCATTGGCAGGCGGATTCTTAACCACTGAGCCACCAGGGAAGCCCTCAGTAAAATATTTTATTATAGATCATCATATTATTAAAGATTTATTATGAAGTTCATTTTAAAATGGTCTTTAATATTATTCATACGTATTTATTACATATGACAAATTTTTACTTTTTCCATCTGACTGTAGACACATGCTATTTAACTTACTTTGTGTAGGAGAAAGCAGATTTCTTGATAAACAAGTTTAAGGATAATTTTTATCTTGTGTCTGGTTTGGGTAGAGAATATATATTAAAAGAAAGACTGACATTTAACTGTATCTTATCACCTCAAAAGACACAAAAACTGGGCTTCCCTGGTGGCGCAGTGGTTGAGAGTCCGCCTACCGATGCAGGGGACAAGGGTTCGTGCCCCGGTCCGGGAAGATCCCACATGCTGCGGAGCGGCTGGGACCGTGAGCCATGGCCGCTGAGCCTGCGCGTCCGGAGCCTGTGCTCCGCAATGGGAGAGGCCGCAACAGTGAGAGGCCCGCGTACCGCAAAAAAAAAAAAAAAAAAAAAAAAAGACACAAAAACTATTTTCATGACCTAATATTTGGTTTGCATGTAAAAGAATCAATTAGCTAATTCTTAGAATTTTGTATACATATAAATAAGAGGTATCAGACTAAGTTTTGCAGGTAGGTTTTTGGTTTTTTTCCTCAAACAACAGGTTGTCTTTATCCCTAGTTGTTAAAAAGCTAATTTAGATTAAATGGCCACGATATTTTCTTTTTACTGATCTTTCATGTACAAGAGACATCTTGATATGTGACATAAGAATTCTGGGAATTCCCTGGAGGTCCAGTGGTTAGGACTCGGCGCTTCCACTGCTGGGGCCCGGCTTCAATCCCTGGTGGGGGAACTAAGATCCCATAAGCCAGCACGGCCAAAAAAAGAAAAAAGAAAAGAATTTTGATCAGGCAAATATAGCTTAAGAATCTGGTGCACAGTATCTTGAGGTGAATTTTTAGAATTATTATCATTTTAAGACTGCTTACTAGCTTGTTTTTAAATATCCATGGTCTTTTTGCTTCTTGCCTTTAAAGTAACAGATATAAAAGGTAAAAATGAAACAATACATGGAGAATAATAAAAGTAATAGGAAACTGTCAAATGGTTAAAAAACATCCTGGTTGCTAGCAATGGTCAACAGTGAGATAAGCCAGCTGAAAAACTGAGGTGGTGAATACCGTCAAACGGTCTCCATCCACCTCCCCTCATGCCTTGTCTATGCATACTTGAAAGGTCTCAAATCATCTCATTTTGAAGCAAAACACACACACACCCACGCACACACACACATGTTTATGTATCTGTGTGTATGAAACACATGTAATTGTTTATTAACTGACACAAAATAGAAATGGAAATGTAACAGCTTTTGAAGACTTAAACCAACCCTCCATCCAGTACCCTAACACCTTCCAGAAACCCAGGGGCTCACAAATCACCAGAAGGCCTGCGGGCATTTTAAACAAGGTTCAAATCATAGTCATTGCTAGGTTTAAACCTGTAGTTCACTTTTTTCTCTCCCCTCAAAAGGCTTTCATGGCTTAGAAAAAGCTTGTTGCCTTTTTAATGTCCTTTCATACTGGTGGCTGTGGGGAGCCGAGAAGGAAGCCCCTTTCGTTACACAGTTTCTTAGTGCCCTTTACCTTCCGTACCACTAGGACAGTGTACACAACGGTGTAAACATATTGGAGAAAGCTGGACTTTAAGGCCACTGTGCAAGTACTGCAGTCTAACACAAGATATTTGCACTAAGAAATAAAATGCTAATATTTGGTTGAAATTCCCATTTGTATTGCATTTGTATGGTTGGTGCCATATAGGCATTCTCTTGAGTCTTTCTTTTTAAGCTTCACTTAGGGGCAGGTCAAAACCTTTCTCACCTAACAATCTGGAGTCTAAGTTTTTTTTTATATATATATATATATATATATATAGTGTGTGTGTGTGTGTGTGTGTGCACATGTGCAATGCACTTAGAACACTTACCAGACAAACAAAATTCCTAAATCAATTGTATTTCAGGACCTAGCATATCCGTATCATAAATATCAGTGCACTGGTAAGAAAATAAGGCTGTACACCTTAAGTTTGAGAAGGAAAGATATTTTTCAGGTAAGCACTGTTCTTCAAAAACTATATGGTTCATCTTCCTATTTTTTTCATTTATTCTTCAGAACTGTGTTTTTTCATTTGCTTTGTAAACAAGTAGTGTGGCTTTCATATTTTTTATTTGCTTCTTAAACAAGTTGTGTGGCTATCATCTATTTTGCCCACCCCAGACTAGCCTTAAAGCAAACATTTTAAATAATCTGAACATTCAGGTCTAGATAGGGACCAGCTCCTATTTCCTTTTATTCCTCTGTTTTGTTCTTAAATCTTCATTCCTGTGGCTCTTCTTACCCTACATATCTTTAGGCTTCTCAGAGGATTTCTGCTCTGTGGAGATACCCTTGGGGCAGCTCATGTAGATGAAGCGGAACTTCACGTGCAGGAGAAAAAAAGACCTGGTGATATCAAAGAGTGAACCCTTCCAGAAGGGAGAGATGCAATGGGTCATTTTATTGCTCCAACTGTGGTTCTCCAGTCAAGTTAGACGAGACAGCTTACATATTTTCTGCTTTTTCTGGCTCTCTTCCTAGTCTTTTCTCTATTCTGAGCATGAACAAATTCTTCCATAAGAAAGAAAAAGATTCCTCAAATTCCTTAGGCAATCTCTGGAGAAATAAACCATCTCAGGAGTTTTAGGTTTGGGGAGGTGCAAGGAGTACATAAGAACATTGTTGGGAGAAGTGAATCAGTATTTCATTTTTCACTATTGACATTAATTCAGAACAGCATGATATATGGCAGTGACACGATATTTCCATTTGCTTTCCCTGGGCCACTCTTTATATTTGGAAGTTTGCAGCAAGAAATCTGACCATAAAGAATATCTCAGGCAGTGACAACTTTCCATAGTCCTAAATCCAGCAGCTGCCTGCAGTTAGTTTTGAATAGAGGACTTGTCTA